GGGGGACACAAAAGCCGGGGGGATAAGGAGGACCTGGGGGAGGGGATGTGGAGCTGGTGGGGGGCGATGAGCAGGGTGAGAGGGGGCAGGGGGTCTTTAGGGCAGCTGGAGCAGAGCAGATCCGTCCGTTGGCGGGCGGGAGGGCTGCGGGTTTGGGTCTGCTCTGTGTCCTCTTCGTGTCCCCCAGGCCGAGGGGCAGTGACAGGGGACACTGGGATGACCCTGTCCCCTCTCATCTGTCCCCCCCAGGCCGAGGCCTGGCTCGAGGCCGAGTCGCGCCGCCGGGGCTGGGCCCGAGCTGCGGCCCCCGGGGCTCACCGGGCACGGGAGGGGCTCGTGGGGGTCCTGAGCGAGGGCTCAGCCGCCGTCATGGTGGAGGTGAGTGATGGGGTTTGGGGGGACCTCAGTTTCCCCGGGGGGGGTCTCTGTGTCCCCAGGGTCACTGTGTCCCCCCCCCCAGGTGAACTGCGAGACAGATTTCGTGGCGCGGACCCCCGACTTCCAGCAGCTTGTGGAGATGGCAGCCAGAGGGGTCCTGGGGCACTGCCAGGGGGCCTCGGGCACCAAGGTGGGAGACTGGGGGGGATGGAGATGTCGGGGGGGTTCAGATATCAGGGGTGCTTTGGGGTTCCAGGGGGTGTTGGGGGTGTTTGGGGAATTGGGTTAACACAGAGAGTGTAGGGTTGTTGGGGTGCCGGGGTGTTAGGGGAGGTTTTGGGGGTGCCAGGGCAGGGTTTGGGGGTGCTGGGGTGCTCCTCTGACCTCTCCCCCCTAGCACCTGCTGCGAGAGGATGAACTGGCCCAGCTGCGTGCCGGGAACGGGGGGGACCTGCTGAGTGACCACTTTGCGCTGGCTATGGGTGAGTGGGGACCCAGGGCCTCTCCCAGTACATCCCAGTATGGCCAGTGCCCCTCCTGTGCCCATCCCGTGCCCCTCCTCAGTATGCACAGTGCTCCTCTGAGTCTGTTCAATGCCCCATTTCCTGCCCAGTGTGTCTCACCATTCCCAGTCTGCCCAGTGCCCTTTCTATGCACATCCCAGTTTGCCTCCTTTATGTCCCAAGTCCCCTGAACCCTAGTCCCCAGTAATGCCAAATAACCACCCCAGTACCCCAAAAATCTGACAGTCCCAGTGACCCCCAGTGCCCCCAGTCCCTGTCCTGGCACTGGGCAGGGCAGAACCCCTGGGGTGGCTACTGGGGGAGCTCTGGGCTGGGGAGGAGGGTGGTCCAGGACCCTTTTCAGGGAGTTCTGCTCTCTGTGAAGGCTTTGTGATCACCCCAATTTTGGGTGTGCTTGTCGTGACCCTCACCCCTCTGTCCCCCCCAGGCCGCCTGGGCGAGCGCCTGGCCCTGCGCCGAGCCGGGTGGCTCCGGGCCCCCGGTGGCTTCGTGGCCACCTACGCTCATGGCTGGGTGCCCCCAGGGCCCCCCGTGGCCATGGGCACCTACGGGGCGCTGGTGGCCTGTGGGGGGCCAGCCCCGGGGCCCCCCCCACCTGAGCTGCAGGAGTTGGGGCGCAGGGTGGCCCAGCACGTGGTGGGAATGGCCCCCACCTCCCTGGGGACCCCTGACGACGAGCTGGGAGGGGACACGGAGACACGGCTGCTGGCACAGGGGTCCCTCTTGGAGCCGGGGGTCCCCCTGGGCCGGTACCTGCGGGACCGGGGTGGACTCCAGGTCTGGGACTTCCTGCGCTTCCAGTGCGGGGAGGAGCCCCCCCAGGAATCCCCCCCGGAGCCCTCAGCCCCCCCAGCCTGAGGGACGTGGCTCAGGGGGTTCAGCCCCTTGCTATCCCCCCAGGGGACACACACACACACACTGCACCCCACCGCCCACGCCACGGTGGGGGCAGCACGAGCCTCCCCCACAATTTGGGGGATGAGGCTGAATAAAGGTGCAGAAGAACCAGCCCAGGTGTTTTGTTGGGAAGAGAAGGGGGAACCCAACATCCCTTGCCCTGCCCCTCCCCCTAGGAATGCTCCCCAACCTTCACTTGCCCCCTCTGAGCTCCCCCAGGAGCCCCCACTCGCCTGCAGGTTTCTAATGGCAAACCCATACAAAGACGGGCTCATCTGACCCCAAAGAGCCAGAACCTCAATGTGGGGGGACAGGAGTGAGGGGTCCAGGGTTGGGGCTGTGGGAGCACCCCCAGCCCATTGCTGACACCCCCCGGGGCGGGTACTGGGGGGTCACAAGGGACATGGGGGGGTGTGACAGAGAGGGGCGAGGGACATGGGGAAGGCAGGGACACAGGAGCAGGTGGGGACACGGGAACAGCTGGGGACAGAGGAACAGGTGAGGACACAGGAACAGCTGGGGACAAGGGAACAGCTGGGGACAGGGGAACAGGTGGCTAGGGGGGGATCAGAAGTGGGGGTGGCAGGAGTTGGGGTGAAAAGCTGGGGGGGCCGACACCCACCAAGAGACGCCGGGGGTCGAGGGCAGCTGCTCCTCACCCCCCATCCCCCTCCCACGGGACTGCCCCCCCCCACGCGTGTCCCCACCTTGTCCCCCCCCTCCGTGACGTCACCAGCCGCCTCCCGGGACAAGTAACCGGGAACAGGCCGGGCTGGAACAGCCTATCCTGGATTACTTGAACCGGGCTGCGGCCGCCGAAGCCCCCCCGGACTCCCCGTTACCCCCGGGTCCCTCCATCCTCCGGCTGGTCCCGCTGTCACCGCCCGTCCACGAGGTCCCCGGGCGTCTCCGTTCTCCCGGCAGCGGCGGGGGGATGACACGGAGGCGTCCCGGGGAGGGACATCAACAGGAGGGTGACAGCGACCGGGGGGACACGGGGGAGGGGGGGTGACACACGCGCCGGCCCCTCCCGGTGCCCGCCCCTCCCCCCTCCCCCCCGTACCTGCCGCTCCCGCCGCCGTCGGGCCCGGGGGGGGAGGGGAGGGGCGGGGGAGGGGCGGGGGGCGCCCACCGGAGCGAACGGGGCCGCGGCGGTTTCGAGGCGCCCCCGCACCGGGGGAGGGGCGGGGCCGCGGCCCGCGGTTTGTTAGGGACGCTCGGGGGGCGGGGCCGGGGTGGCCTTGAAACTGGCGGTGTGCGCTGATTGGCTGGGCGGGGAGGGGGCGGTGCCAGGCCGTGTTTACATCGCGCGGATCCCGGTGAGGGGCGGGGCTTCGCTGAGCCACGCCCCCGTCACGTAAGGGGCGGGGTTTACCGACCGTCCCCTCATGAGTGAAGGGGCGGGGCCTGGGCGGGGCTCTCCGCTTTTCTGAGCTAAATATTGTGAAATAATTTTATTAAATAAGACGGAAAATCCCTTTTCCCTCTAGATTTATTCGAGGGAACCTCAAATTTCTCCCGCTTCAACCCCTAATTCCTTTTTTTAATCTCAGTTCCACCTAATTCACCTCAAATTCCTCCTGTTTCAACTCCCAACTCCTTCTTTTCATCCTAATTCCACCTAATTCACCTCAAATTCCTCCCGCTTCATACAAATTCCTTTGGTTTTCCCAAAATTCTTAGTTCCCCCAAAATTAAATCCTGCCTATTTCACCTCAAAACTCCTCGTCTTTCATCCTAATTTCCTCTTACTTCACCCAAATTTCTCCGGTGTTCCCTCAGTTTTCCACAAAGGAAATTATTTTCTTGGGTTTGGGGGTTATTTTTAAAGGATTATCTGTAGAAAAAAAAAAAAAAAAAAAAGTGGAATCTCCCGGTATCCGCAGCCAAAATCTGGGGCGTTTTAATCCTCTTCGATTACCGAACGAAACCCGTCCCGGGGCGGTGCCAGACCCAGTTCCGGGGATAAATGGGACAAACTGGGAATTTGCTGACCGGAGCGTCCGGGCGTTCCCTGGCGGAGCATCCAGCGGGAAAACTGGGGCGGACTGGGACTGGACTGGGACTAGACCGGGGGCGGGCTGGGATTGGGCAGGACTGGACTGGACTGGGAATTCTGGGCTCGGAGCAGACTGGGAATGGTCTTGGAGCGGACTGGACAGGAATGGGGCCGGACTGGAACTGGTCAGGACTGGACTGGGACCGGACTGGAGGCGGGCTGGAACTGGACGGGACTGGACTGGGAGTGCTGGGCTCGGAGCAGACTGGGAGCGGACTGGGACAGGACAGGACTGGACTGGGACTGAACGGAACTGAGACTAGACTGGGAGCGGACAGGACCGGACTGGGACCAGACTGGGACTGGACTCGGGACCGGACGGGATTGGGACAGAACCGAGGGCGGACTGGAACTGGACTGGGACCGGACCTAGACCCCCCTTCCCGCCCCACCAACATCCGGGTACCTCGAGCCGCAGCCCCGCCCACCCCCTCTGCCTCCCCATTGGTTGCTGCTGCATGACGTCACTGTGGGCGGGGCGCCGCCCCTTCCCAGGGAGTCCCAAAATCTCCCCCAGCTCGGCCTCGTCCCTCAGCTGGGCCCCCGAGCGGGACACGGCCGGACTGGGGGCAAACTGGGACTGGACTGGGAGAGAACTGGGGGCGGATTGGGACTCGACAGAACTGGACTGGGAGTGCTGAGCTGGGAGCAGACTGGGAATGGTGTTGGAGCGGACTGAGAGAAGACTGGAGCCAGACTGGAATAGGACAGGACAGAACTGGGAGAGGACTGGGGCTGGACTGGGACTGGACAGAACTGGGAGCGGACTGTGGTCCTACAGCGACCCTGCAGCCCCAGACCCCCCAGTCCCGCCACCACCTCCCACCAATGGGGCAGCTTTGGGTCTCCACTGAAAATCAATCCCTCGGCTCCAGTTCCCCGGTGAGCCCCAGATGGATCCAGCACCTCCATCACCACCCCGGCCCTGTCCAGTGCCACCAGTGCGTGTGGGGATGGAAAATTGGGAACAGATGGAATTCCCTGGGAAAAGGGACTGGGTAGCAAAATTTTATTTCTAAAACAGGCTGAAAACTGCGGAGAAGGAAATTCCTGGCGCTCCATCACATTTTTCGGGAACTGCTGCCCTTGAACCCTTCTGAGGGTGGATTTGGAGCTCTGGAAACACCCAAAACTCCTGGAAATGCTGGGAAATGCCTCTGACCCTTGTGCCAACCCTGGCCCAAGGCCAGAGCCTGGCAGCAAATCTGGCTTTTACTGGGAATTCTGGAAATAACCTGGAAGATCGCCAAATTAGGGAAATCCCCAAGGATCAAAGTCATACTGGAGTGATCAGAATGGAAATCCAAGAAACATCAATGGACTCTTCCCAGAGCTGCCATTTGGGGGGAAAAATGGGGAAAAGCTTTGAGGGGCCCAGAGCTGCCCCTGTCCTGTCCCAGGACCTGGTGGCTCCTCCTGGTCCTGCTGTCCCTGAGGTCCCAGCTCTGCTCTGCTCCTGCCACACGCCCAGGGCTGGGGTCCTGGGGCATGGAGGGGTCCCAGGGGTCCATCCCCCACTCCGGGGGTCCTGGAGGTCCGGTCTGGTCCTGGTGCCGTGGTCACCTGGTGACGGACGGGTCGGAATCCACGTGGCCCAGGAGGAAGAGCTCGGGGCTGGCGGCGAAGCCCAGGCGGCCCTGGGGGGATGAAGGCAACAGTTAGTGCTGAGGGGGTTTAACAGGCCTGAGCTGAGCCTGGTTTAAGGAAGACTGAGCCAAAAGAGAGTTTAACCAAGTCCAAGTTGGTTTAAGGACGCCTGAGCTCAGCCTGGTTTAATGAAGCCCAGGTAATGAAGGTGAAATGGAGGCTGGTTTAACAAAGCCACCATTTAATGAAGCCCAAATGGAGTCGGGTTTAATAAAGCCACCATTTAATGAAGGCTACACTGAGCCTGGTTTAACAAAGACCAAGCTGAGATGGGTTTAATGAAGCTTATATTGAGGATGGTTTATCAAAGCCTAAATTAAGCCAGGTTTAATGAACCCGATGTTGAGCCCAATTTAATGAGCCTGAGCAGGGCAGGCTTTTAATGAAACCAGAGCTGATTCTGGTTTAAGGAAGCCCCAGCTAAGCCCAGTTTAACAAAGCCTGAGTGGGAGCCAAGATGGCAGCGCTGGCCATGGCTCCAGAGTCATGAGTGCCCCATCAATTAGCACTGACAAGAAGGAATGGTGTTAATTGGGAGCGGATCCCACTGTTAATTGGGGCAGATCACAGTCCAGCCCCACCCAGGGCTCCGAAAGGCCTCTCCCTCTGCAATTAACTGCTCCAGCTCAATTAAATTCAGGGTGCGGATTGGCCTTAATTAGCAATGGCTGCACAAGCTGCTTAATTACAAGACACTGCAACCCCTCCAGCTGGCGTTAAACGGGACTGAGCCTGTGCCAGGCTGGGCCAGAGCAGGATAAAAACAGGAATTGCGGTTTTTTGGCAGAGCTGGAGGGTTTGGCTGGAGCAGGGCAGGATGGATGTGCTGGTCCCTGATCCCAGTGGAGGAATTCCAAGGGGAAGGCACTGCAGGGTGAGGGGCCCTGTGCCCTCCCAGGGATGGCACAGCCACAGCAGGACCCTGGCAGCGAATCCCACGGGACTGGGACGTGCCCCAGCTCACCCTGATGCTGTTTTGAATTTTGCATTTTTTTTTTTTTAATATGTTCTGTGTATTCTTTGCACGTGCATTTGTAGCTCTGTAGCCTATTGGATTAATAACTCCCAGTACTTTTCCATGGCCTTTCCCTAGGCAGAAAGACAAAACAAATTCCAGAGCTCTGGAACAGCTCTTGGAGTTTTTCATGGACAGAGCACAGCCAGTACCGAGGAGGGGACTCCAGAAAAGGGAGTGGAAATTGCATCACCACTTATCCTCCTAATTGGTGCTTTTATCAATTATGTAATCTCCTAAAACGTATAAAAACATCCTCACCCCTGTGGGGGTGGATTTTGTGGACATCTTTCCATAACCACCCCCGAAGGCCTTCAAATAAAGATCCCCTTTTATGTGAACTCTGTACTAAAATGATCTCGAGTTTCACTTCCAGCCTGGGGAAAAGGGAACAGCCCCAGCAGCTCCAGCATCAGCACGTTGGGGGCTCTGTCACAGCCAGGAACGGCCCCAAAAAATGACCCAGGAAGCCAAGTTGGAAAAGTCTCCATGTTTTAATGGGAATGGGGGTTTGTACAGCCAGGACCAAAGGGAAAACCCCCAAATTAGTGCAGCACGGGGCAGAGGCCACGGATGCAGGCTCCATGCACAGGCAGTGTTTCAGCCAGGAGAGCTGACCCCTCTCAAGCCAAAATCCCCAACCCAGGAAAGCTGGGGATGGTACAGTGGGATTCCAAAGCCACCTCTGGTCCAGCCCCTCATCCCCCCACCCCACAGCTCATGGCTGCTGTGTTGTGGGAATGGCTGTAAAAGCTACAAATGTTACACTGCAGGGTTAAATCCTGCTGGGATTCTGGGATAATTACAGGAAAATTGGGAATCCATTGTGGTCAGGGGGTGCTGCAAGTCTCAGCTGGTTTGGGAAAGGGTGGGAAGAGGCATCTGATCCTGCCTCAAATTAAAGGGGAGTTTTCCTGCTGGGCTCTGAGTGTTTTCACCTTCACCCCTGGAATGGGTCCTGGGTACCAGGGAACAGCCCCAGAGCTCAGGCAGTGATGGAGAAAACTTTACAGAAGCTCAGAGCAGCAGGGGCTGCCCTGCCCTGAGAAGAAATCCCCATGGTCAGATCCCAAACATTCCCAAGAGTTGGATACTGAAGGGATTTTATTCCAGAGAGAATTCCCTGCCTGGGACTGGGAGTGCAGGGAAATGTCAGTGGGCAGCGAGGGATGGACCTGACCAGGTATCCCAAATAAATCAGGATTGGCCCCAGGAGAGGTTTGGGGCCCCCCCTGCTCCATCCTGCAGATCCATGAAGCATTTTTGGGATCTAAACCCACGGAGCTGTGCCTCAGCTGCAGCTCCAGCTGGACAGAGAAGGGAATTTCACTAAATAACCCAAATCTGAGCTTCCAAAGCTCAATTCCCATGATTCAGAGATCCAAATGCACCCCAACAGGCAAGATGGAGCCCCAAAACAGCCCTGGGAGATCCACAGGACACCCTGTTCCCTCCATCCCAATCCACTCTGTCACACTCCTGGCCAAGCTTCTTCCAAAATTCATTAAACAAAAGGGGGAGGATGGGAGGGAGTTAAATCCAGGACAAGTGAGAGCAGCAAAGAAACCCCTGGAAAAGGCTCTTGAAGCCTCCACAGCCTGATTTTCAGTTATAATCCAGGGATTTTTGAGAACTCCAAGAGTATTTCCATGGATTACAGGGAATAAAGTAATAAAATCATAAATAACCACGAACTCGTTTCATTTGCTGACCCCAAAATCCCACACTGGGCCATTAAAAAGCAGTAGTGCTAAGATTAATGCTCAGTTTTCCCATCCTCGTGGGAATGGGAAGTGTTTTCCAGTGTAAAATAGCAAATCTGCTCAGCCTGGGGCACTGGAGGTAGATCCAGCTGTAGTGTCACCCCATGCCCAGCAACAGCAGCGTCCCCAAATGTCACCCAAAAGGGGATTTGGGGGATTTTTTTTAGCTTATTTGCCTATTTTATCCAGAGCAGCGCTGCTGGAGGTCAGTGTTTGTGTTACAGGGAGGTTCAAACGCTCCGGGGTGAGGAATTTGGAGGCATTTCAAGGAAAACGGGGAGGGGTGAGGCTGCTCCTGTGCCCCTCCCCGGCCGCGTCTCCCACGCAGGGATGATTTGGGGGCTCAGCAAAGGAACCGAAATCCCCGAGGATCCCGGCGTGGCGCTGTCCTTGTGTCCCCAGGGCACTTCTGGTGGCACTGCTGAGCTCCGGCCCCGCCTATTTGGGGGGGTGGGAGGGCGGCTGCTCCAAGTGCAGGGTCCGGGTGACGCTTACCGTGTTCCCGCAGGCCAGGAAGGAGGCGCCCAGGGCAATGAGGCACAGCCACGTCTGCGGGGACAGGAGGGCACGGTCAGGGTGGCACAGGGACCGCGGCGGCACAGGGACAGCGTTAGAACTACATATTATATTATATTATACATATTATATTATATATTATATTGTACATATTATATTACTATTATATATTATATTGTACATATTATATTACTATTATATTATATATAATTTCTATTTTATATATAATTTATATTTCATATATAGTTTTTAAATTATATATGTATTAAGTATATTAAATACATATTCTATCTTCTATTCTATAATAATATCATAGTCTATTATTATAATATTATATTATTATATAATATATACATAAATATCAAAATGAATGCTATGTATGATGTTGGAAAACTCTGCTGCATGAATATAGTTTCTTTTAGTTCTGTTATTAACAAAAATTAGAAATAGTACTGTGATAACATTTTTTTTTTCTTGGAGTATAACGTGGTGATGTAAAAGAGGTTTTGTTCATGGAACTAACTCAGAGAATGGTATGAAGATAATCAGAAAAGTCTTCACATTTTTGGATTATCCTATCTGGATGAAGACAGGGGTGATGAACACCAGAACTCCAGAAAAGGAATTTATTGATCTCTGTTATCAGGGAGTGTGCCAACAAGAAGGAGCCACAAGGAAAAAAAATTAAAAAAAAAAAAATGTTGATTTACTGGTGAGGGGGGTGATTTTGAATAAAGCATGAAGGTCTATGAATATGTAACAGGTCAGTGCATTTAAAGAAGTTTTCTGAGTTAAGGTGTGCTCTGGCTGAATGCCCAGCACCTGCCCGTTGTAACCTTTTGCTTTATTGTCTCTTACTGTCTTCTATTAAACTCTTTAGAACCTACCAGGAAACGGAACCTTGTTTTTCACACAAGGAATCCTGGCCTGAGCTGGGGCAGAAAAGCCTCAGGGATCACTGGGTCACTGGCCAGGCCACCATGGACCATGTTCCCAGGTGCCACATCCACGTGGCTTTCAGTGCCTGCAGGGATGGGGACCCCACCCCTGCCCTGGGCAGTTGTGTCAGGGTTGGACAATCCTTTCCAGGCAGGAATTCTTCCCAGAATCCAACCTAAACTTCCCTTGGAGGCTGTGTCCCCATGTCCTGTCACCTGGGAGCAGAGCCTGACCCTCACCTGGCTGACCCCTCCTGTTGGGCAGGTGTGGGGAGCCACAAGGTCCCTCCTGAGCCTCCTTTTCTCCAGGCTGAGCCCCCCCAGCTCCCTCAGCCTCTCCCGGTGTTCCAGACCCTTCCCCAGTTCTGAATGTGCTCCAGCCCCTCAATGTTCTGCACTCAGGACCCCAAACCTGAGCGTGGGTGGGGTAAACCCCAGTGATGGCCCCATGGGGATCACTCATGGGATCAGGAATGGGCCAGGATGTGCCACCCAAGGAGCTGTGGCCAATGGCTCCGTGCTCAGGTGATGAGTGGGTGTCTTCGTTTGGAGCTGCCAATACAAATAAACTTATTTTTCCTGTTGTGAGACAGAACCAGGAGCAAAAGAGCAAGGCAGTCTCTTTGTTTGTGTAGTTAATAAATTTTCTTTTATACTCTCTCAAGTTTTAGGCCTGCCTTGCTCTTTTGCTCCTGGTTCTGTCTCACAACAGGAAAAATAAGTTTATTTATACTGGCAGCTCAAAACGAAGACATTAATTTGGTGCATTGGCCGGGAAATCGAAATTAAACCCAGACAGTGGGACAGACACTGGTCCCTCAGTGTCTGTACTGGGACAGCAGAGTCACAGCAGGTGACACAGAGCAGAGTGGGGAGGGGACAGTCCAGAGGGGTGGGATCTGCCCAGGGGGACAGCCCAGGCTGATCCTGGGGGCTTCCTGCCCCTCTGTCCTGCTCAGGTGAGACTCCACCTGCAGAGCAGCTCCAGGGCACCGAGGTAAGGAGGACGTGGAGCTGCTGGAGCAAGCCCAGAGGAGGATTTTGGGAAAGAATTCCTCCGTGTGAGGAGGCACTGGCACGGTGCCCCATCCCTGGAAGTGCTCAAGGCCAGGTTGGACGGGCTGGGAGCCACCTGGCCGGGGGGGAGGTGTCCCTGCCCAGGGCACAGGGGCTGGATGAAATTGCCTTTGAGGTCCCTCCCAGCCCAACCCCTCCTGCGCTTCCATGGTCACTCCACGATTTCCAGCTCTGTGACACCCAGACAGGTACAGGGGAGCCGTGTGCTGCTCCAAAGTCTTCTCCCAGCTGCAAGGGGGCCCAGGTGGGGCCTGACTCACCAGGTACGCCACGAAGGACAGGTAGATGACGCTGAGCACGGCAGCCCCGATGTAGAGCCCCAGGTTGTGCAGGGACATCACGTAGGCCACCACGAAGTACATGTTGATACAACAGATGAGGAGGATCAGGAGACCCCCGGCCACCTTCCAGAACCTGGGAGCAAGGTGAGACACAGTGGGGTGAGGTGGGGGACGCTGCAGGTGAGGACAGGGCACGGTCTCAAGCTGTGTCAAGGGACAATCAGGTTGGATATTAGGAAAAAGTTTTTCACGGAATGAGTGATAAACTCCTGGAATTGTCTGCCTGGGGAGGTGGTGGAGTCACCATCCCTGGATGAGTTTAAACAAAGCCTGGATGTGGCACTGGGCGCCCTGGTCTCCTTGAGGTGCTGGGGCTGGGTTGGACTCAAGGATCTTGAAGGTCTCTTCCAGCCCAAAATTCTGTGAATTCTGTGAGATGTGCCAGGTGAGGGGCAGGTGTGCCCAGATGTGCCCAGGTGAGGGGGGCAGGTGTGCCCAGGTGAGGAGATGCACAAGGTGAGAGGCAGGTACGCCCAGGTAAGGGGCAGGTGAGGGACAGGCGTGCCCAGGTGAGGGACAGGCGTGCCCAGGTGAGGAGATGCACCAGGTGAGAGGTAGGTATGCCCAGGTGAGGGACAGGTGAGGGGCAGGCGTGCCCAGGTGTGCCCAGGTGAGGGACAGGCGTGCCCAGGTGAGGGGCAGGCGTGCCCAGGTGAGGGGCAGGCGTGCCCAGGTGTGCCCATGGTACTCACAGCCCATTGGCGAAGTCGTGCATGACGCTGGGCAGGCTGGTGAAGGTGAGCACCGGGATCAGCGCAAACGGGAGCTGGAACAGGAGAACAGAGAGGAATGAAGAGTGGGAGCAGCTCTGACCATCACAGAACCCTGGGGTGGTCTGGCTGGGAAGGGACCTTACCCCTCATCCCTCCACCATGGCAGGGACACCTCCCCTGCCCAGGCTGCTCCAACCTGGCCCTGGACACCTGCGGGCTGGGAGAGCCCGGTCACACCTGGCCAGGTGTCTTGGGTTGCAATGCAGAATGTGACCAAAAGTTTGGATTCTGTCACCATCTGTCAAACCAGCTGGGGCAGTGATCCTGATCTCTATGGGGAATATCTGCTGTTGATGGGCCAGGTGTTAAAATCAGGTGTTGCAGTGTTCTTTATCTTGCCCACAGCCCATCCTCCCTCCAGGAGATCTCTCCTGTTCATGGCCATGCAGTCCCAGGGCAGGGCTGATCAAATTCCATCATCCCATTGGGAGATGCTCCAGCCAGGGCAGGAGACAAGAATTTCCTACCCAGATCAAAGCTGAGATTTGGAACATCAGAGCAGCCTTTACCCACTGGATCCCAGAGGAAAACCAGAGCCTTCCACATCATCACTGGGAAAACTGCACCTTGTGCAGGAGCCCTGCTCCAGCAGAACCACATCTGTCACTGCAGGAGGATGCAGCCACCATGGAATGGGACTGCACCAACCCTGCCTGACTGACGGGGGCACCTTGGATTCTCACTCTGACCCTGCTCTGGGTTTGTTCTCTGCAATACTGGATTGCTATTTTAATTTTCCTAGTAAAGAACTGTTATTCCTATTCCCATATCTTTGCCTGAGAGCCCCTTAATTTCAAAATTATAATAATTTGGAGGGAGGGGGTTTACATTCTCCATTTCAAAGAGAGGCTCCTGCCTTTCTTAGCAGACACCTGTCTTCCAAACCAAGAGCCCAGGTGCGCTCACCTGGAGGCTCATGAGGACGTTGAGGAAGTCGTTCATGCCCGTCAGGTGCTCCACGTCCTGGAAAATGGCCACGAAGAGCGTGGGGGTGACGGCGATGGAGCGCGTGAGCAGCACCCGGGCAAAGCGGGACCAGCGCAGGTTCAGGAAGCCCTGGGGGGCACAGGGAGGCCATGAGTAAGGAGTGAGTAAGGTGTGAGTAGTACAGGACCTGCACAGGTTCAGGAAGCCCTGGGTGGGGTCATGGAGCAGCAGGGGTGAGGAATATGGAGTGCAGGAGCAGTGCAGGATCAGGAACCTCTGGGGGCTGAGATGGTGAGGAGGGAGTGAGGAGTAAGTAAGGAGTACAGACGAGTGAGGAGGACAGAACACAGAGCAAGGAGAACGTTGGGAGGAGTAGAGAGGGAGGAGCATGGAGAGAAGAGCGAGGAGTGGATGAGTAAGGAACATGGAGCAGGGAGTACTGAGCGAGGAGTGAAGAGTCAAGGAGTAAGGAGTGTGGAGTAAGGAATAAGGACTGCAGGGAATAAGGAGTGTGGAATACAGAGCAAGGAGAATGTTGTGAGGAGTAGAGAGTCAGAAACAGCCAGTGAAGAGTGAGGAGCAATGAGTGTGAAGTACAAAGTATGGAGTAGATGAGTAAGGAGCATGGAGCAAGGAGTAGAGAGTGAGGAGTGTGGAGAGAGGAGTAAAGAGACAAGGAGTAAGGAATTAGGAGCATGGAGTAAGGAATTAGGACTACAGGGAGCAAGAAGTACGGAATACAGAGGAAGGATGGAGTCAGGAGTGAGGATGAGGAGTGAACAATGAGGAGCGAGCAGTGAGGATGAGGAGTCAGGAGTGAGGATGAGGAGTGAACAATGAGGAGTGAGCAGCGAGGATGAGGAGCAGGGACTCGTTACCTCCATGACGAACTGGCCCGAGTAGGTGCCCGTCATGGTGGAGCTCTGCCCGGCCGCCAGGATCCCGATGGCCCAGATGTAGAGAGCAGCGGGGCCGAAGTAACAGCCCAGGACCACGCCCTGCCAGGGGAGGGAGCAGCTCGGTCAGCCCGGCCCTGCCCAGGGCAGCGAGGAGCAGCCAGGAGGAAAAGGAGGGGGCTCAAAAACCCCACTCTGGTTTTGGGGATCCCTTTACTGGTCCCAGCCTCTGTGCTTCCAGTTTATCCAGAAGCAGCAGCTGCCACCAGACAGGGTCACTGGGCTAGCCCAGATGTGGCTGTCACCCCCTGGGGACACCAGACAGGGTCACTGGGCTGGCCCAGATGTGGCTGTCACCCCCTGGGGACACCAGACAGGGTCACTGGGCTGGCCCAGATGTGGCTGTCAGCCCCTGGGGACACCAGACAGGGTCACTGGGCTGGCCCAGATGTGGCTGTCACCCCCTGGGGACACCAGACAAGGCAGTCCCCAAGCTGTCCTCCCCAGGGACACTCACCCCCTTGTAGATGTCCACCTCCAGGGTCTCGTTGTTGTTGGGGAAGAGCGAGGAGTGGGGGCTGCTGGAGTTGGCACAGACCTGGTTCTGTAAGGGCACGGAAGGGTGGGAATAAGGGAATGGGCTGGGAATGGGATGGAAAACCCTCTGGGATCCTTGGGCCACCCCTGACTGTCCCCAAGTGCCACATCCACACAGCTGTGAAACCCCCCCAAGGCATGGGGACTCCACCCCTGCCCTGAGCAGCTTTTCCATGAAAAGAATTTTCCCTAAAATCAAACCTAAACCTCCTCTGGACACATTTTTGTTTCGTGCTGTCACCTGGAAGAGGTGACCCTCACCTGGCTGTGCCCTCCTGCTGGGCAGGTGTGGGGAGCCTCAGAGACCCCTCTGAGCCCCCCCAGACCCCTCAGCCTCTCCTGATGCTCCCCCAGCTCTGGACA